CTTGACAACTCTCTTTCTATCACATTTAATCCATTAAAAAATAAAACCAAACAACCCTGTAATAGATTTACTTTCAAGATAATCTAAAATTTGACCACTTCTTGCCATTTCCATCTTTAACATCTTTATCCAAGCCACCTTTATATCTCATTGAATTATTGCAGTTGCTTCCTCATTCGTCTCCCTGCTCCCACTCTTCCTCCTTTATTGTGCATTCCCAACTCAGCTACCAGAGCTTCCTGGTTCACAGGGTCAAAGCTCATGTGGCCATTAATGACCTGGCTCTCAATTACTTCTCCTGATACTCTCTCCCTTGTCTACTCTACCGTAGGAACACTACCTCTTTACTGTTCTTTGAATCTACCAAGCATACTCCTGCCTCAGGACTGTTACACTTTTTGTAAAAGACCATTCCTTTTGACTGATATGGTCTTACTTTAAATATCCCTTGGCTTGCTCCTTGTATTAGTCTTCTAGGGCTGCCATAACAAAACACCACAGACTGGGTGGCTTAAACAGCAGATATTTATTTTCTCACAGTTCTTGAGGCTAGAAGTCCAAGTTAAAGGTATCAGGACTATTGGTTTCTCTTGCAGACTCTCTCCTTGGCTTGTAGACCACTGCCTTCTCAGTGTGTACACACTCCTGATGTCTCCTCTTCTTTTTTTTTTTTTTTGAGGAAGATTAGCCCTGAGCTAACTACTGCCAATGCTCCTCCTTTTGCTGAGGAAGACTGGCCCTGAGCTGACATCCATGCCCATCTTCCTCTACTTTATATGTGGGATGCCCACCACAGCATGGCTTTTGCCAAGCAGTGCCACGTCCAAACCCAGGATCTGAACTGGCGAACCCTGGGCCACAGAGAAGCAGAATGTGTGAACTTAACCACTGTGCCACTGCACCGGCCCTCTTCTTCTTATAAGGACATCAGTCCTATTGGATTAGGACCCCATACTTATGGCCTCATTTAACCCTTTTCACCTCCTTACAGGCCCTGTCTCCAAATGCAGTCACATTGGGGTTAGGAATTCAACCCATGAATTTTGGGAGGACACAGTTCACTCCATAATACTCCCTTATTCTCTTCATGCCTCACTCGATCAGTGAGGGTTTCTTTGACCAGTCTTTGAAAATCACACTCCCCTCACCATCGCCTTCTTATCCCTGTAGGGGAGAAAGAATATTTCTCTACACTCTAGGTTCTTCTGGCTGGTCTAAGAATTAAGTTGACATGAGAAGAAATAACAGAAGAAAATCAAACAAGTTTAACAACATGTGTACATAGGAAGAACCCAAGAAAACTGATCAAACTCATCAAAATGACTGAAGCCACCACCTTAAATACCATCTTCAGCTAAAGACAAAAGAGGATGTTATGGGTAGTAGTTTGGAACTTCTAAGGGAAAGAAGGCAATTTACATGGAGATGGAAAAGCAAATGTTTGGTAAACAAACGTTTGCTAGGCCATGGCATTGCCAGGTGCCATCCTGTCTACCACATCTAGAGTTATCTATGGTGATAGCTCCTTTTTGGGACAAGCCTTTTATCTTAAATTCTTCTGGGCAGTTAGAGGGAAGGTCAAAGTTTCTTCCTGAGCCTTTTGTTTTTAAAAATAACCAAGCCAAAGAGACACATTTTGGGATGGAAAATTCTGATCCCCCATCCCCCCATCCCTTCTTCATTCTTCCTTATAGCAATTATCACCACCTAAGCATTATAAACTTATTGTTTATTGTCTGTCTCCTCCATTAACTATATACTCCATGAGATTAAGAACTTCTCTTTTGTTTTTAAGTCCTGGTGATTTTATTCTTAGCGTTGAGATTGATGCCTGGCGTACAGTAGATCCTCAATACATAGTTGTTAAAATAATAAAGGAACTATTTCAACTGATAATTTAAAGATATATACCCATAAGGATTCCAATCAGAAATAGATGGGACATTCAAAGGTTTAACTGAAGTGAGACTAGTGGAAGGACTATTTAGAGTGGGGTAGGCAGAGTTAAAGGAACAGCAGATGATGGTGAGGCACCAAGGACCTCACCACAGTGGGAAACTCTTTCCCTTTCTAGATCTGAGGTACCAAAGAGTGAAGGAGAGCTGTAACTAGAGTCAAGGAAGAGAGCAAGCCTAATGGATCCACGACTGTAAGGAATGAAGACTTTGCCAGCCATAGTGATATAAGGAGGGTGAGGGGAGAAAAAATGGACGTCTCTAGTCCTTTCCTCTCTACTCTTCTTTTGGTCCATTCATTTTTTTACAGAAGTTGGACACTGGAGAGCAAGGGGGTATAAATGATGCTGTGTGTAGTGGTCAGACTCCTGAGAGACCAAGCAGGGCAGCAAAGTGAAGAAAATACATCTGCTTGGGGAGAGAAGGGGAAAAATGGAAAGTAGACAGCACAAAGCATTAAGATTTTTGAAGTTATTAATGTGTCTTTCTATTTTTCATTCTGTCTTCATGTCCCTCTCCTTGGTAATCTTAACACTCCCTCTTCTACCAGGAGGGGGTGGAGAATGCACAGAATTGTTATTGGTAAAATGCAAAGAGTAATAAAGAGTTTCTATTCAGCTACTGGAATTCACAAAAATCATTTTGCAACAAGACAGAGGAGCTTGTAATTCAGGATTTGAGAAGAGGTTTAAAATTTTCTAAATTCTCTTAACATAGCAAGAACCAGTCCCAGAAACAGATCATAATGTATTACATCATATAGATAAGAATCCTATTCTGCTTATAACTAGCTCATGAGGCTAGCACCCTAAAATAGTAGGATGAAAAAGCAAGGGATAAGAATCTCAACCCAGAGAGTGTGACATGTATTTGTTAAATGGAGGGAACACTGAAAGCAAGGAGATTTTCCTCCTATCCAATATGAAACTCTGGAGATAATATTGCTGCACCAAGGATGCTAGTGGCATGAGTTGTCCATTAATGTAAACACAGTGGCATAACATTGATAATTGCAAAGACAGCCCGAGTTTAGCTTCTTTTCAGTCTCATATAAGTGAATACATCCATTTTGTTTTAGGAGTGATGGTGACATGGGTGTTAGCTCAAGATCTTGCTTAGGAGTTTGGCAGAAGAGGTGGCTCACAGGAGGGGCAATGGGGGGCCCTATAGGCAAGGGCTGAAGAGTAGACCACCTGAACTAGGGCTATGGATGTCACTGCCAGACCTGGAGCTAAAGGAGAGCGGCAGTATGAGTTGACATAGAGCCCAATCAGCCAGAGGCCCACCCTGACCAAGCCAATAAGTGCAAAAACAAATATTGTGTCAGTTTAACTGACAACAACAGAGTCCCCAGGGATGGGCCAGACACACTATAGGGGTCCTCAGTCCAGAGAATAGCACAACATACCCGAGCCAGGTTTGAGACCCTCTTCATTTGATGGTGTGTGTATAGTAAAGCCCCTCTTACCTGAAGACACTACCTTGAAGTGTAGTGAGGACAAAGGAGGAGATGGGAAACACTGGACATTTATTCTGAAGAAACTGATCTCCTCAACACTCGATATATACCTCATACTAATCTCATAAAAGTATATCTCAAATTATAAAATTAAACTGAGAAGGCCAGACTTTCTCCCCCCTCAAAAAGAATCAACTTTGATTCCCTTTTACTATTCTTGTCTAGTGGTGGCATGGGATGCCAGAGGTACCACTGAGGATGATATGTCACTTTTAGTGAAGAACGAATTATATTTTTCTGCAAACTTGAGTGTATCACGCATAACTCTGTAATTCCAGAGAAACTAGAAATCCTATGTAATGCTACAGATTCTATATATACTTTGAAGGATAAGCATATTTAAACTCATTCAGGCTCAACTATGCCTTAAGTTCACTCTTGGTTCTGTCAGATCATTGATTTGACATTGATATGATTTGATTATACTTAGATTGATGATATCAGCTCTAATATTGAGGAAGTAGACAATGCAAAGTAATTAGTCACAAAGCTCTTTTGTAGGCCTCCAATATAATGAACTCTGGGCAAATTAGTCCGCAAGCAGAATCTCTCCCATTTTAATTTGATTTCTGAGCTCCAGAATTAGGAAGGCCATCAGTAAGATCCGTTGTTATTTTGCCCAATATAATTAGAGGGTCAGCAATTTGATCTTGCCTTGATGACAAAACAATTATCTATGGCATCCCCTTTCCCATTTAGAAAAAAATAAAAGCCTGTGCTTACTTAGGTTTCTTTTCTAATTAAGTAGACTTAGTCCTGGTTTCACAGGGACGGAATGAGCAAAGCATAAATGTCAAAACTGGAGTTCAGTGTGAGTATAAAAAATACCCCAGGCAGGAGAGATCACACCCATAGCAATCATGCTTCTCCTGCTCTCACATTATTGCCCTCCTATCTCTGTCTGTATTAGCTCTCAGGCTGTTCTTTTATCTTCAGAGAGTGAGGTGGTTTTTCTCCCCTCCCACGGAGCCTCTGTTGGCACCGTGAGCTCCCCAGCCATTTTGCTGTATGTCTGCTCATCCTGCACTCTCCATTCCGTCAGTTACCTGAATTGGGAGTTTTCCAGTGGAACTTCTCTGGCAAACTCCAAGAAAATAGAAATTAATGCAAAATGTTATAGCAGTTTAAAAATGGCCAGGTTGAAGATCTGTGTTTGCTATTTTCTTACCATACTGAGAGTTTGAAATTCTGTGAACTCCCTCGGTAAACCATTCCGACTTTTTACACGATTTAAGAAGAAGTTCTCCTAAGAGACTAATTTGAAATTTTCAACATTCTGTTAAGCCCATTTACTTCCTATCAACAATCAGTATTCAATATCTTGGTAGGTAAGTAACACAATAGCTCTTACAGATTATTTTATATTTACCATATTAAGAGCTCTTTGCCTTTTTTTGTTCCCTCACTTACACTTTTTTGCTTTTTCCCAACTTATACAAATAAAAGTATGATTACATATGAAATAGATGAAGCTCTACTTCTATTTCTAAATAGACAATGTCTCAAATTACTTGTTTTTTCAACAGTCTCAATAGATGCAGCCAGTGATAGCAACCAACGTACTCCAGAGAGAATGTGCCCCCAAACCATGATGAGCCTTGTGGACTATGACAGAAAAAAAAAAAGGAGACAGGTTTGTAGTGCACAGAATCCTTAACTTTAAAGCATAATGAAATCTTAGAAAGCTCTGCTTGAATTGTAAAATTTGCCAAGTATGTGAACCCCCATCTTCCCTTTTAATCTGAGTTCACCCGTCCTAGTTACAGGAAGACCTGTCATCTGCATGAAGTCACCTGATACCTATTTTAGGGCAAGTGAATGGATCAGTTTTTACCAAAATCAAATCCTCGAGCTAGAGTTCCAAGGTGTCAGAAAAACATGGGTGAAGATATCTGCTGTGATAATTTAGCTGTGTGACTTTGAACAAAATGCCTAACTTTACTGACTTTGTTTTCATCTGTATAGCAGGAACCATCATACGAACTGCACAAAATAGCTCTGTGGATTAGTGAAATAAGAAAGGAGGTTAAGCACTGTAGGAGAACAGAATATGTCACCCAAAAATGTGTCTCTTTGGCTTGATTATTATTATTATTAGTTTTTCCTCAGGAAGATTCACCCTGAGCTAATATCTGCTGCCGGTCTTCTTCTACTTTGTATGTGGGTCACTGCCACAGCACGGCCACTGAGTAGTGTAGGTGTGCGCCTGGGAACCAAACCTGGGCCTCTGAAGTGGAGCGCACCAAATTTAACCACTAGGCCAATGGGCTGGCTCCAGGTTTGATTATTCTTAAGAACAAAAGACTCAGGGAGAAACTTTGACCTTCCCCCAACTGTCTAAAAGAATTGAAGATAGAAGGCCTGTTCCAGGAAGGAGCCATCTCCATGGATAGCTAGAGTGTAATGTGAACTAGATGTGGTGGACAGGGAGGAACCTAGCAAGACCCACTTGATCGAAGTCCCCTCCATGTCCAATTGTCTGTGCAAGACATGGTAAACATTTGTTTACCAGGGAAGAAATTCTCTCTGGGATTTTTGTTGTCACCAAAGATTGTTTGAAGCATAATTGAAAGGCAGTTTCACCTATTGTATTGAGCAAAGAGGTATGTTTAGGAAGCCCTCTTGTGACTATGTGTCCCTCTGGGTCACCAGGTTATGTAGAAAGACATACTAGAGTCTTTCCAAGTGAGCAGTACATCTCTTCTTCACATATTACATTGGGTCTTCCACAAAGTTCCTGTTTTGAGCTTTCAGAAGACACTAGAAATGATTAATCTGTCCTATATCCACTGAGTTGTTGGAGCCTCAAGATAATTTTAAAATGCGGTTGAAAATTCTTTAACAATCCTCTCATTGAAAGATGGCATTTACATCCTTTCCTTTCTATCTGTACAGACTTGTTACTGCTTTAATGAGTAGAGTACAGTAGAACTGGTCTATGTGACTTCTGAGGCTAGCAGGTAGAAAGCCAAGATGCTCCTGCTCTGTTTCGTGGAGTCCTGAGCCACCATATGAGGAGTTCAACTACAGTGGGGCAGCCATGCTGTGAGGAAACCAGAGAAGATGGAAGGGACACTTGTAGCTCCAGGAGATAGTTTTGGTTAAGCTCAGCACTGGAATCTTCCCAGCTGAGGTGTCTGATATATGAAGGAGTAAGCCTCCACATGAGTTTAGGCCGCAGCCATTCAGTCATATCAAGCAATTTGAGTCTTTGCGGCAGAAGTCCCAGACAATATGAAACAGAGTCAGACCATACCAGCTGGGCCTTGTCCAAATTCCTGACCCACAGACTCTATGGGCATAATAAAATGGTTGCTGTTTTATGGCACTAAGTTAATGGGGTGGGTTGTTATGCAGCAATTTATAACTGGACCGGTCTCAGAATTTAAGCGGATCTGCTAGGACAGAGAGGTGATTGAGTAGTGATCAGAGAGGAGTTTTCCAAAGAAATCTATTCAGATGGAGTCAAGGAGGGCTGATAGTGGACAGTAGGGTCAAACAAACTGTTTCAGGGGAACACGTCATTTGGTAGCTCACAGGACTTGAGAAATTAACTTCAAGAAAGTTTAGAAGCAGCTTTAGGGAACTCATGTAAAGGCAGAATTCCAGTCTTCCAAAGAAAAGGATGTGGAGGAAGATACTAAATAGGAAAACAATGCCCAGATTTAAGCATAATAATCCAAGTAATCAATTAACTGACGGGCCAACGGAGATATTGAATGGCTCTGAACTACATCAATTAGAGATCATCTGTGCATTTTACTGGTTATTGCCAAATTTCTTAATTATCAGGGTTCTTTATGTGTAAGGTCTGGAAGTTTGTTTGGAATACACTAGGATATTTAAAAAATACTAGTGGGTTCTGAGAAGATAATTGTTCTTTCATGCTAAGCATATGTCTCCACCAAAAACACTTCAATAACAAAATTGAAAGGTAAAATAAAAAATCTCTCTTTCACAAAATATTCAGGTTTACCTTCAAAAACAAGATCTACATATAGTAGATTAGGCAGGCCAAGATCTGTAATAGCATTTGACATATGACAAAGTAACTCTCTTTGGGAATGGTGGCATTCAAGGGTAGAAAGCCCTTTTATTTTCACTGAATTTTCAACTTGAAAAAAATTCAAAATAGAGATTAAGCGTTGCAAGCAAAAAGCCAATAAAAACATGAGAGTTTTACAATACATTTTTATTTCTTTAATATGATTTGCGTGTTTAATAAATGAATGCAGATGCTTGTACTAATAGAACTATTTAAGTGTTAAAAGTTACATTGTAGCAAGTATACCTGAAAACAACGTACAGACAGTTATCACCTCCTACTTTACCACCAAATTTGAAATGATCTGCAGCTAATTACTTTCATGTAAAAATCAAGAATATGATAGCTTGCAGTTCTTACATGGGGAGTTAATAATTTCTCTGCTACTCTGTCCTATGTTCGCCTGTTTCTGTTTATACGTTTTATTGGTGAGCCTCTAGCCTATTATCGGACAATATTTTATTATTGGCTAAGATCTCTGTGGTAAGGATTAGTGTCCAGATGCAATATTGTTTCTTGCACCTCCTGCAGGAAGTACACCAAATACGGAAACTTGGGAAATATTACCTATATTCTTCAACTGTGAATGGATGTGCAAATTTATACCAGAATCTCTTCTGCAGACTCTACATTCTTTGACTCATAGGAGAGTCACCTGGGAATTCTGGGGATTGTGAAGCAAAAGGCCCCTCTGACACTTCCCGCCTTAACCCATAGTCCACAATCAGATTTTTACCAGACTTCTGCCTAAGGGTTTATAAATTTGCAAACTTTTTGAATTTTCTTTACTTTTAAAAATTTTTGCAGCTTTATTGAGGTATAATTAACAAATAAAATTGTAAGACATTGAGAGCGTACATCGTGGTGATTTAATATATGTATACCTTGTGAAAAGATTCCCACTTGATTTTTCATTTTGCCTAAATTGGAAAATCCAGGGTTGGAAGGAAGCATGAGTGCTAGGATTATTATTAATCTCTAAAAAAATGCCTGAGAATATTTTATGAGCTGTTTAGAGAAGGTTTGTCTTACATATCCAGAATAAAAGAGGTGTAAGCTAAAACTATTTAATTGCCAGGCCTTGGAGCCCTTGTGTTTCATGAGAGTGAGGACCTTGATTTCCTAGTCTGGCAGTTTCCAGGAGAAAGTTCAAAGGTAACACTTTGAAGTGTTGTTACAGATAACATCTGTCTTCGATGTTAGCATCAAAACATAGCTTCTGAGTGTGTATTGGACATACTACAGAAGTGTATCCCACTGATAGTTTTCAGTTTTCTTTGTTGCCTAAACATATAACGGAAGGCATAGAATTAATCTTCATATGTTCCCGTATTAATTTCCTAGGGCTAGCATTACAAAATACTATAAACTCGGTGGCTTAAAGCAACAAAAATGTATAGTCTCACAGTTCTGGAAGATAAAAGTAAAAAAGTCAAGCTATTACCAGGGCCATGTTCCCTCATAAAACCTGTACGAAGAATCTTTCTTTGCTTCTTCCTAGCCTCGGGGGGTTTCCAGCCAATCCTTGGAGTTCCAGGGTTTGCAGCTGCCAATCTCTGCTTCTGTTGTCACATGACATTCTCCCCTTGTGTGTCTGTATCTCTTCTCCTCTTTTTGAAAGGTCACCAGTCATGTTGGCTTAGAAGCCTCCCCTGCTCCAGTATGACTTCAACTTAACCAGTTACATCTGCAATGATCCTATTTTAAAATAAGGTCACATCGTGAGGTACTGAGGGTTAAGACTTCAACAGAACTTTTGTGATGACACAATTCCACTCATGCTAGTCCCCTAAGAGTAATTCTTAATTTTATTTTAGCATTCAGTTTTAGATCATATTTCCTTCCCATTTCCTAAATTGCAGCAGTTAGAACTAATTATAGAGAGGTATGTTTATGTATAGTCTAGTATTTCCAAAATATATACTGATTTTAACATCTAGATATCTCAGAAGCTCCTTTCCTGCATCCTTCTTTTTTATTTTTTTGTCTTTCTTTGTCCTTTATGAAAGGGCAAAGAATGCAGGAATACATCCCTAAATGATTGAATTTATCTGCAAATTGCTTCCAGGTGCTCACCTCACTTTCTCTCCATCTTCAAACAAAAGACAAAAAAAAAAAAAAAAATAGATTCAATGTCACTCAAGAGCAAAATCATGAGGAATGTAAATAGTTTTGGTTTTCGCCTCATTTTCCATCTGAAATATTGCTTGTTTCTTCTTCTCCAGTTTACAAGACTTATACTTACCAGTTCGTAGCACTAGTATAGTGTGAGACTTCTGTTCATTCTTGATTTTCCAGTTGCCAACATAGCACATGGCTCCCAATAGACACTACATAAGTGTTGATTTCTTCAATACAGAGTTTTCAAGCGCTTCCAATTCACTTGAGGGTACCTGAAGTATTATGACTTCAAAAGTTTGCATTGGTAAGGAACAGATCAGAACAGGTTAGTCATAAACACGTAAGAGAAACAGTTTAAACTCTGAGGACCTCTGTCTATATTCTATTTTCTTATTACGGATGTAAATGGTACTTTAAAGGAGTTTGAAATTAATATTACTCTGTTATAAACTCAATATATGACTTCTAATTTACTTGGCATTTCTCCACCTCTGTTCCTTGTAAGAAATGCAAAGATAAAAACGACAGCAGCTAAACCATCATTTAGCCACACAGACCAAACTCTTTCTTTTTCTGGTTTTTTACATTTCAGGCAATCAAAGAACAAAGGCAAAAATCAGCTACAAATAAATCCATATAACTCCAGAGGCCTCTAAATTAAGTACGGGCTGTATAATATATGCTATTATAAATAACCTTATCTAGACATAGATTTGCATCGTCTATATCTGGAGTCTTCATTCATTGATAGTGTTGTTAGCTTCAGTGAAAATTAAGAAAAATTCTCAATTCAATAGCATCAAGTTAATGATTCTTTCCCATTTTACTTCTTTCTTACTTTCCCATTTTAATAGAGTCTTTTAGTTCATTGGATAAATGTTTTTAGCGTGTTGGGTGATGTATGGAAACTA